AAAAAAAAATTTTAAAAAAAGCTATTAAAAACCAAATGCAGCCTGTCTGAGCCCTAAGGGGAAGGAGTGAAGGTGCTTAATGAACCCCCTCTGTCCAGCTGCTGGGCACACACCTGTTTCTGAAGCTCCGCATACTCATGCTGCATCTGGATAAGCTCCTTCATCAGGCGTCTAGCCCGCTCATGGTTGTCTTGGGCCACTTGTTCAATTGTTGCCATTTCCTTCTGCATGCAGCTATTCTCTTGTTTTTGCTCCTAGCACAGAAGAGGGGGAAATAACTCCAAGTTCCACTAGGTGATGTTTATGGTTGTTTATATGCATTAGCTCTTAATTTGCACTTGCCTTCTTATATATAACTATTTCTTAAAGTCTAAAGTCTAGATCTGCATTACCTTTGATAATTACCTTTTCTGAGTCTCCATTAATTGTAAAAATAGGAGCAAATACTTGATCATAGGTTCACTTGGGACAATTAAGATTTACAGACATCTCTAGCCTATCTTTATGAGCTCTGATTATGCTGTGGTTAAGGCTCTGTTTGTGTTTGCTAAATCAAAGGTCAAAAGTTTGATCCCACAAGTTGCTGAGATAGATCAGTGACCTGTAGATTTAAACCACTGACCATTTGGTTTGTAAACAAATGCTTAACCACTATGCCACCAAGACTCCTCTTTCACATAACAGAGCTCAATTTAGCCCCGTTAATTCTTTCAGAGAACTCCACTCCTCTGACAGTTCTCTATTCTTGGCCACTTCCCCCCTACATATACACCAACAATAAACTTTTCAATTCATCTGAATATCACCACACAAGATTTATTTCAGGGCTAGAAGCATGTTAAATTGAGCTTTCTGGTTCTAGGACAGTGATTAATTGCAGTGGCCTAGTTAGTAGTGAGCTGCACTGCCAACCAAAAGGCAAGGGGTTCAAATCCACCAGCTGCTCCTCAGGAGAAAATGGACTATCTCCTCCCATGTGATTTACAGCCACTGAAAACCTGCTAGAGGGTCAACTGAATCAGTTCTGACTTGGCAGCAATGAGTGAGTGGTGAATAAATAGCACAGGATGAGACAATTTAAAGCAGGATGTTGCTTTAAAATGTCTACTGAAGCAGTACCCACCCCCCTGCTCTCCAGCAGTCTAGGATATAAACCGAAACTTGCTTTCTGAGCGTGTTCACATGACTATCTCCTCAGCCAGCTACAGAGCTCCTCTGAGGCTTAAGTCCTGTCTCAGGTAAAATCTAGCCATTTACTCCATTTACAAGAACAGATTTTGCACATACATGTACCCTCCAACCCCCTACTCCTATTATCAACAGTGGAATCAGGTGCTAAGTTGATGGATAATTTATTTTCTCTGCATTTAAATAGTGCTTTAGTTTAGAATTTAAATACACCTCATTTCCTCCAACTGCCAGGGCAGCAAGTACTCACAAGAAGGTTTTTCTCCAGCTGGCTCCGCTGGGTTTTAAGGGCTTCCTTGAGGCTAGCAACCTGCTTCTCGGCTTTCTTTCTTTCTGTCAAGAACTGGTTCCGCAGGAGACTGAAGTCTGCCCTCATAGAGTCTATCTCTTTCTGGACAGTCTGAAGCTCATTTGACTTTTCCATTAATTCCTGCTCCCGCTCTGAAAGCTGTTGTTCTGAAATGAACAATTTGAGGAGGTTTAGCCTAAGGCCTGGGGCTGGCTGGGGCAGCTCTGACACTGAGGGCAGCTTACATAACTGTGACATGTCACTCATTTAGGTCTTTTTCTCCTTAACTGAGTCTTTTAAGTCCACCCTAACCTATACCAGAGCATCAGATAATGTGGCTTCTTGAAGCAAGTGTTTCTTTAAAGAGCCTGATACCCAAATGATAGACAGCTTTTGTCTTCCATTTGTCTTTGAGACAAATAAAGAGCAAACACAGCATCATTCATGAGTGTAAGGTACACAGAACAAATAGCTGGAATTTGTTTCAAAACCTTAAGTACATTTGTACTTCTTTCTTTATGGGAGGAAGTGCAGGGGAAAGAACACAGGGTTTAAAGAAATTCTTACTGGCATGAACCCTACTTTATAGATGAAAGACCTAGCTCCTGATGTTTAAGGAGAATCTTGTATACAAACACCTGGCACATAGTGAGTACTCAATGCTTATACATATCATTCTACACGGTTTTCCCTAATCAGCCTATTTAGAGTAGTACACTGCCCATATTTCACATTTCACTTTTACATCTAGCATGATCATACTCATTTGCTAAGTTTCAGTTTCATACTGAGATGACTGGGTCTGAGTGTAATCAGAGTGCTGAGAGAAAGAGAAATAGCCTTTCAGATACCTATGCTAAGAGAAACATCATTTTGAACTAATAAAATCTTGCAGCCTAAAAAAGGAAAATATTCTTACTAGTGTGTGAACAATCATTTACCCCAGATGCTCGTGTCAACTTCATTTGACACAAAGGCACTACTCATAATTTGGTTCCATTTACCATGTCAAATTAGGAGAGAATAACAAACTTTAATATTGCTTTTTGACTCACTAGGATGAAATGGATTAATTGTTCCCAGAGCCTATAAAACCTTTACTTGGCCTTAATGTTCTTTCTTGACATAGAACTCTTGAGAAAGACAATAAGGTAAAGTGAACAGATCTGAGAATCAGTACCAGGATTAAATTCCATTTATTTAAAAAAAGATACAAATCACTGGTTCTCTGAACTTGTTTCCTCATCTTCCATAAGGTTATGAGCATCAGACAAGATAGCACACTTTCTGTTTCACTTCCTCTACTTTATTTCTGGACTCTGGATGGTGCCAGGGCCTCCTTATGTGATTACGGGACAACCAGTTGAGCCCACCCTCTGAATGCCATTCCAGAGCACATACTGGTGTGGGAGAGCATCTTCTCCAGAGTTTCACTCCTCCGCTCCTCTTCCTGCAGAGTTCTGACACGCTCTTCAGCCACCAATACTTGTGTGAGCACCTGTTCCAGTTTGCTATTCTGCTCTGTTAACTCCTTTTCCAGCTGCTGCTGCTGCTCCTTCCAAGTCACTTTACTGGCTTCTAATTTTTCCTCTTCACTTTCTCTCTCTTTCTGGAGTTTTTGAAACATCTTAATAAAGAACACTTTAGTTAATGATAAAATAACAAATGCCAAATCAACAAGAGAACTACCATTGTCATGAGATTCTAGCTCAAAAGACAGTTAAAAATGGTCCACTGTGACAAAGCTTGAGTCCCTCTACAGAGGTGATCAATCTTTGTAGGCTTATGGGTCATGTAGATTAATATCAAGAAATTCAAGCAGATGGGGGAAAAAATCCTCATCTGGTTACAAAGAGTAGTTAAGAGAAGTACAGACCCAGCAAAGATACCTCTCAGCAGCTTTCTTCCAGGAGGAAAACAGCTCACAGAAATGGCAAAGGGCTTCCCTTTATTAGAAATCATAAATATATGTTACCGTTTCTTGCTGAGCTAGCTTCAGCTTGTTTTCTTCAATCTCATTCTGAAGCAGCTGAAGTTGTTGCTGTTTTGTCTCCCTTTCTTTCTGACAGTCTTCAAACTTTTTTTTCTGTTCACTGATGTCCTTTTGCAGCCTGGTCTGCTCACTAAGATGTTTGTCCCGATGCTTGGTGGTGTGGAGCAGATCCTTTCATTGAAAGCAAAACAGAAACAAAAAACAAAGCCATCTTTACTATACATGACTAGTGCTAATAATCCAAGTTAAGTCTTAAAAAATAATAAAGATTAAAGTTCCAGACTCTTTATTATCCCAATTAACTTACAGGTATTCAGAACTCAAGTTTAATGATTGGCTTTCCTTTTATTTAGCTTGCTTTGGAGTGAAATACCAATAACATGTAATCTTAGGCAAGAGATCCAGTTCCTCTAAACTTCAGTTACTTTATTACTAAGAGGGAAATAACATTTTAAGACTGTTGAGAGCATTAAGAGAAACTGTGAATAAAGCTTATCAATGTTAGCAAAAAAGGAGCCTCAAGTCATGGTTTTGTTACTATTTAAAGTACTCATTTACAAGAGTTTTAGTGGGCTAGTGCACAGGGAGGTGCCCTGCTCACTCAAAGGCCATGTCTGCCTGAATTCACCAGTTCTCCTGCAGGAGAAAGATGGGCAAGCTCCTGTGCCATTCAACGTCTCGGAAAAGCCACTGGAGTAACCCTCTAGTGCTATAAGTCAGTTTCAACTTGATATCAACAAGGTATTTGGTTTAGAGGTGGATTTTTTACTAGACAGCTTTAAGGAAAAAACCTCACAAAACAGTAAAAGTTGTGTTCTTCAAGGAACACAAATTAAGCATTTTTGAGAACCACAGAAAACAGTCATAAGAACCTGTATAAGAATTTTAAAATATAACATGTTAGTTTTATATTCTTCAGAAGCACTCAAACCTAAAGGTAGAAATCAGATGTCTAAATCAACAATTAAATTTGTGTGGAAAATGGGTGCCCAGACTTGTCTGAAGTCTTCTAAAACTTGTAATACAGACTATCAGGACACCACCGTGTTTCTTTTAAGATCAACCAAAGTATGCGGCTCAAGAACATAGTCTGTTCAGCCTCTCATAAGACAGAGATGTGGAGATCGCTCTGCAGACCAGCAACTAATGAAACCTACACCCAGCTTTTGGAGGCCTCATCTGAGCCATGGGTCAGAATGTTCCCTTAAAGTCCCCTGAGGGGATGCAGAAAGGTCTGGCTCTGGTCTAGAAACCACTCTACTTATTAACTTATTAATAGCTGGTGGGTCAGGACTAAGTAACTTATAGCTGACACTCCAGCAGGTTTTCAGTGGCTGTAAATCATACAGTAAATCACACCTTTCTACTATAAAGCAACTGGTGATTCAAACCACTTGATTTTGGGTTGGCTGTGCAACTCTGTACCTGCTAGGCCACCAGTTAAAAGCAAAGATTCTAAGGCTAAAACAGAATTTGAAAACCACTCCTCTGCACCAAAACTTGACTGTGTTAAAGGGTCCTCAGCAATTCCACTATTGGGAATATACCCCAAATAGACTATAACTGCCACCCAAGCAGATATATACACACCCATGTTTATCACAGCTTTGTTCACAATAGCAAGGAGGTGGAAACAACCTAAGTGCCCAGCAACAAAAAAATGGATAGAGAAGCTGTGGTGTATTCACACAATGGAATACTACACTGCATTGAAAAACAAGGAACTCGGAACTCATGCAATATTATTAAAAATGGGTGACCCTGGAGGACATTATGCTGAGTGAAATATCTCAGTCACAAAAGGACAAATATTGCATAGTGCCACTGTTGTAAAACAGGACTGGCACTGGAGGTGGGAGGAGACTGAGAAAGATGGGATAAATAATACATACTGCACTGAAACAGATGAGGGAGAAAACTGTTTAAAAGGGACATGTGTTTAGGTACAGGAGTCCAGAACAAAGGCTGCATAATGGAGTGGACCTGGGAGGAGCGATTGTAAAACAATGAAAGAATTTTTCTTTTACTTTTCAAAGAGAAAAGTACTGGGGGGGGGGTTAAGGGGTGGGCAGGGAAAAAAAGTGCAACAATGAATGAATGGAAATCCAAAATCTGTAAATTTTCATTAAAATTAATTAAAAAAGAAAAAAAAAGGGTCCTACAGGATCTGCTGGAGTAACAAGCAGCCAGAACTACTTTTCTTTTTGATGGTTGGCTGTTTCAATGTTTGCCTGCCTTTACAACAATTCCTAGAAGTTTACATTTGATAAGTTTACCTGTTCTGCTAGGCTCAGGTGGTCTTGGACATGAGTTAGTTCCTCCTGGAGTGAATTTATTTCTTCTCGTTTCTCTATAGAAGTATAATTTTCATAAAATGAGAAAATTTTCTAAATTTACATCAATCCCTTTAAAAAGTAGAGTGGAAATAAATGCCGACATATGTCTGTTACATTGTTTTATGACATCACTCTATCATACTAAAGAGTGCAGTGGTTAAGCACTTGACTGATACGAAGTTGACAGTTCGCATAACCCAGATATGGGCTTAAGACCCAGGTTTTAGTTTTATATGCTTAAAACCTCACATTAAAAATAAAAAAGTGAAGATAACACCCCGGGTATTGGTGAGATTCATCATTTAGAAATGGTACCTTCTATATGGTCTTTGCTATCACTTGTTATGCATAAGAGGGTTGGACAATGACCAAGGAGGATAGAAGGAGAATTGATAACTTTGAGCTGTGGTGCTGGAGAAGAGTACTGAGAATAACATGGACTTCTAGGAAAACAAACAGACTCATCCTGGAAAGGGTTAAACCGGGTGGCTCCTTGGAGGCAAGGATTCTGAGGCTCCATCTAACATACTTTGGACATGTTGTGAGGAGAGACCAGTCCTTGGAGAAGGACATCATGCTTGGGAGGGTGGAGGGACAGTGCAGGAGGGTAAGGCCCTCTATGAGGTGGATTGATTTAGTGACTGGGGTAATCGGGATGGGAGTGTCAGAGACAGTGCGATTGGCACAGGACAGAGCAGAGTTTAGGGTTGCTATGAGTCGCAAGCGACTCAATGGCACATAACAACGACAACAACAACAACACTTCTACACTGTGGGTCACACTCACTGCTGTCAAGGGGGAACTGACTCCTAGCTGAACCTTGACTTGGTTTTTTAGAGGTGGCTGTAAATCACATGGACAAGACTGCCCTCTTTCTCTGGAGGAGTTGCTGGCCAATTCCATGGTAGACCTGAACCCCCAGAGAGGTGGGGCCTTTGGGTTAGCAGTACAACTCCTTAGAGATTATGCCACCATAGCTCCCATGTTTTTGATAGAAACAGAAATTGGTACAACCTCCCAGAAAGATTATTTGGAAAGAAATCTTATACTAAGCCAAAGTTTTGGACTCATCACTTAGTTGCCTGACTGCGAGCAAGTCTTAGAGACTACTTATATTCCTATCTGTAAATGAGTAAAAGAACACTTTCTACTATATAAAATGTCATGAGAACTAAATGAGAGAAATGCATGTAAAACATTTATAATCAGACCTAGGGCTCTGTTAAAGCTTAGCAAACATATTGTCAACCAGAATTATTACTTAGGAATTAATCCTAAATAATCACACATATTTATAAAGATTTGGAAATAAGGATGCAGTGTGTACCTCTATTTTTATAATTGAGGTGTATATATGAAAAACTGGAAGGGTATTCACATGTTAATAGGGATTCTCTGAGAGATAATGTTAATAGCAATTTTTATTTTCATCTTGTTGCTATGATTTTAACTTTTTCTATACAGATTATTATAAATATAGCTTTAATAATTTAGTAAACACTTACTTTATATATGCAATTAATGACATTTAGAGTTGTGCAATAATCACAACTAACTTAAGAACATTTTTAGTGTCTAAAAGAAACCACAACTATTAGCACAAATTACTTTTCTTAAATTTTATTTTATTTTATTATTGTGTGTGTGTGTGTGTGTGTGTGTGTGTGTACCATCAAATCAGATCTGACTGGTACAGGAGGAGATTGCACCTCCTTCTCCAGCAGAGTATCTGGTGGATTTGAACCGCATATCCCTGGGATTGCAGTGCAGCTTCTTGCCACTAGGCCACCAGAGCTCCCTACAAATTACTTTTATGAATAAGAAAAATGCAACAATTAAAAACAAAAGAAAAATGTCATCTTTCCTTGCCTTCTGCCTCATACCTTGTAGCTGTTGCTGCATTACTGAAATGTCTTTATGTAGTGACAGCTTGTCTCTGTTGAGTTGGTCTAGCTCCTGATGCAGTTTTCTGACATTTAATTCCAACTTTTCTAGGTTTGTCTGCTCTGTTTTGCTGTTTTCTTCTGTAGCTGCCAAAGCTCTATTACAAAAGCAGAACATATGTCAGACTGTCAAATATGAATGTAATTTATGTACACATTAAAAGAGTCATACTTTTACAATACACAGCCATGGAAAATGTGAACAACTATAAATCTTAACAAAAATCCAGGTTTCTTCAATTCATTTTCTAAAGAAATTTTATTACCAGCTTTCTAAACAGGCACTGTTTTAAAAAGTGACTCACCTAAACTGAAGCTTTAAAACAGCAATGGATAAAAACATGGAGTCTGTATTCTTTTACATAAATGGAATTACACAGAATATACTTGTTTTATCTGGCTTTTTTCCACTCAGTATACTAAGATTCTTTTCTTCATTCCTTTTTTTACCAATAAGTAGAAGTATTTCATGTAATGATTGTATACGACTTTGTCAATCACCAAATGAGAGACTTTTGAGTTGTTTTCTTCTTATTGTGTTCTGAAGGCATTTAGAATATATTTTCTGGAAGTCTTTTCTCATATGTATAGTTCCAGAGATTTTTCTCTCAGTTTATGGTGGCTTGTTGTTTAATTTCCTCAGTTATTTTTTTTTCTTTTATAAATGGATTCCTTTATTTTTTTTCATGCTTTTGACATCATTCTAAACAAATTTTGTTTAGGAGAAAACATTTGTGAATTTTTGCCATTTTAAAGTTTTCCAAATTCATACAAGTTTCCTCCAATTTTTTAAGTTTTCCACATTCACACACACAAGTTTTCTCCTATTTTTAAGTTTTATATTTAGTTTTTTGTTTGTCTTTTTAAAGGAGTTCTGTGGTCTAGTGTTAACAACTTGCTCTGAAATCCCAAAGGGAAATGGTTTGAGTCCACTAGCTACTCTGCAAAAGGATGGGCAATTTCCTCCTGTGTGATTCACTGTCCCTGAAAATACTTTGGAGGGTCAGCTATGAGTAGGTTCTGATTTGATGGCATACAATAACAACATTTGTTGTTGTTGTTATGTGCCGTCGAGTTGTTTGTGACTCATAGCGACCCTATGTACAACAGCCCTAAACCCTGCTCTATCCTGTGCCAATCTTATTGCCTCTGACACACCCATCCCAATCACCCCAGTCACTGAATCAATCCATCTCATAGAGGGTCTTCCCCTCCTGCGTTGTCCCTCTACTCTACCCAGCATGATGTACCTCTCTAAAGACCTATCTCTCCTTACATGTCGAAAGTATGTCAGACGAAGCCCCAGAATCCTTGCCTCCAAGGAGCAGCCTGGTTTAACCCTCTCTACGATGAATCTGTTTGTTTTCTTGGCAGTCCATAGTACATTCAATACTCTTCTCCAGCACCACAGCTCAAAGGCGTCAATTCTCCTTCTATCCTCCCTAGTCATTGTCCAACTCTCTGATGCATAACAAGTGATTGCAAAAACCATGGCCTGTATCAGGCGCACCTTAGTCTCCAGAGAGACACTGCTGCTCTTGAGTACTTTAGAGAGGTCCCTAACCACAGACTTTCCCATCGCAATACATTTTTTTATTTCCTGGCTACTGGTGCCAAGAGTGTTGACCGTGGAGCCGAGCAAACTGAAGCTGTGAACAATCTCAATCTCTTCGCCATCCATCCTGATGCTACCGATTGGTCCAGTGGTGAGAATTTTTGTCTTCTTGACATTGAGCCTCAGTCCATATTTAGGTTTCTATATTTATGTTATGTGTTGTTCAATTGGAATTGAATCACAGCTGATGTTCCAGTGGATTTAAAGAGGTAGTAAATTACACAGAGGAGACTACTCATCTTTCTCCAGCACAGCAGCTGATGAGTTTCAACTGCATGTGGGTTGACAGAACAAAACACAGTAAATCTTAAAATCAAGTGATGTTATCCCTAAAATTCTGTTCATTTTCAAAGTTGTTTTGGTATCATACCTAAGAAAATGTTAACAGTCTAAATGTTATAATCATGTTGTCAATTTCTACAAAAAAGGCTACTGAGATTTTGGCTGGGATATTCTTGAATCTACTGATCAACTTAAGTAGATTTGCTATTCTATTTTTTCCAAGGTATAACTTTTTTAAAATCTTTTAAAAAATTTATCATTAATTTCAATGAAAATTTACAGAGACTTTGGATTTCCATTCATTCATTGTTGCACTTTTCTCCCCTCCCAACCCTCCCCCCTAGTATATTACACTCTTGGAAAAGTAAAGGAAAAATTCTTTCATTGTTTTACAAACTCTCCCCCAGGTCCACTCCACTATGTAGCCTTTGCTCTAGACTCCTGTCATGACAAAAATACCTAATCACATATCCCTATTAAACAGTTTGCTCCCTCATATGTTTCAATGTAGTATATATTATTAAACCCATCTTTCTCAGTCTCCCCCCAACCCCAATGTCAGTCCAGTTTTACAACAGTAGCACCATGCTGTATTTGTCCTTTTGTGACTGAGATATTTCACTCAGCATAATGTCCTCCAGGGTCACCCATTTTGAATAATATTGCATGAGTTCCTTGTTTTTCAATGCAGCGTAGTATTCTATTGTGTGAATACACCATAGCTTCTCTATCCATTCTTTTGCTGATGGGCACTTAGGTTGTTTCCACCTCCTTGCTATTGTGAACAAAGCCGCGATAAACATGGGTGTGCATATATCTGCTTGGGTGGCAGTTATTGTCTCTTTGGGATATATTCCCAGCAGTGGAATTGCTGGGTCAAATGGTATCTCTATTTGCAACTTTTTGAGAAAGCGCCATACCACTTTCCACAGTGGTTGCACCATTCTACACTCCCACCAACAGTGAATAAGAGTTCTAGTTTCTCTACAACCTTGCCAGCATTTGTTGCTTGCAGTTCGGTTAAATTTTGCTATTCTGACTGGGGTGAGATGATATGGTTGTTTTAATTTGCATCTCTCTTAGAGCTAGGGATTTTGAACATTTCTTCATGTCCTTGTTAGCCATCTGAATGTCTTCTTTGGTGAAGTGTCTGTTAATATCCTGTGCCCATTTTTCTATTGGATTATTTACCTTTATCTTGTTGTGGTGAGATTTGCTATTCTTAAATACTATGCTTATATTATTTTGACAAACTGAACAAGTGCTTTAGCTTTTAAGAAGTAATTATACAAGCAAATTTGTTCCTGCTCTCACCTTTTGGTTTGTGCCAACTTTTTATCCCAGAGGTCACATTTCCCTTCAAGATCTTCCTTTTCTTTGGTCAGAGACTCAATGCACACTTGTAAGGATCGGGTCTCAGCAGTCATTCGCTCTATTTCCCTTTTGTCCTTCTCAAAGAGTTGCTTCTGCCGCTCTATTTCTCCTTTCTGTCGCTGGGTTATGTGCTGCAAGTTCTCTAATTCCAGTTTCTCCTAAACAGGAAAAAGATCCAACTCAAACATTCTAGAAGAAAGACTGCAGTTTTCTAAGGGTACAACAGCTTTGCTCACTACCTCTAGCACGTCAACTTGCATCTTCTCTAACTCAGACAGTTTTTGATCATGCTGTAGCTTTAAGCCTTGTAGCTCACTGTTTTCAAGTTGCAACATGTCCAGAATATTCTTTAATTCTAAAGACAGAAACAAAGCATGGACCAAATCATTAAATAAATTTGGAAAAATTTATAAAGTCAGATAGAAAATAATGCTATTGATTGACTCAAGAAACAGATTAAATCTAAACAGGTAATTAAAAACTCTTTGTGGAACTCAATTTAACCAAGTTGCTAAATTATCTTTTTAATGAAAATATAATCCTTTAAAAGTGCTGTTAAATGACAGTGTGTTAAAAATGTCTTAATAAAAACATTTAACAAATATCTAGTCTTAAAAGCATTTCCCCTACATAAATGAGCAAAGAACATTTTTATACAAATGAAAATCAAAGTAAACGTGGACAACTTTAAAATACAAATCTAAATATGTAACAATTTTTTTTTCTCCTTTGAAATATGTACATTTGAAAGTTAACACTTTATTTTCTGGTTATAAAAATATATGCTCACTATATAAAATTTAGGGCGGGGGAGAAAAGAAAATGATAAGCAAACATTATTTCAATCCCCAAAGATAATCTCTATTACAACAGCATTTTGATGTATCTCTTTCCTTGAGTAAACATACACACATGTATTTTTTTATAAAATGGAATTATATGTTCAAATTTTAGATATCTTTCACTTTTTAATATAAGCATACGTCATTAAATGCTGTAAAAATTATTTTTAAATTGCTCATTTATATTTTATAATTTCCAAATCCTGCAGTTATATATATTGCTGTGATGTACATGAATGCTGCTTTTCTTCTCTTGATTAGTAGAAATAGACCCAATAGGTCAATAGATGAATTTTAAGAATCATGAACAATTTATTATCAATATCCTATAAATGTTACTCTTTTACCATATTTGGTTCAGCAATGCATGAACTTTTAAATAAATGTTACCAATTTGAGTCACAGAGAATAATTAATCTCATTTAAACTTTTCTCAAGTTGCAAATTGTTTTTCTTTACTTGCAGGAGCCCTGACGGCCAAGTAGGTTAAGTCTTGGGCTGCAAACAAAATGGTGGGCAAATCTATTAAGATTTACATCCTCAGAAACCCAGCAGAGGCTTGTCTTGAGTCAGAATCAACTCAAAGATGATGATTTCTTTACTTATTAATTTTTCCATTTTGATATTTTTTCATCATCTGGAAATTAACTGCAAATTTTATATTTTATTTTCCACTAAACTTACCAGTTTTATGCTTAAACATTTGTCCTAAAACTACCTGAAGATTTTCTTCCTCTTTTACAATATCCTGTTTTATAAGTGCAAGTTGAGTCTTTTTTTCACTAATCTGGACATTCAGTTCTCCTTTCTGAAAACTCAGTTCTTCCAAAAGAGATTTTACTTCCTGTGGGGGAAAAAAATCATGCCTGTCTCAAAAATCTATGAATGAAAATGACAACATTTTCTCACAAAGGAGCTCATTTCCTGGAAATTCTAATTTGAAACAAGCTCATTTTTGCCTTTTATGTAAAGAGCAGCTTGACTTCTGAACTACCATATACGACAGGGGAAAGTGACATATGATCTTTAAAAGTATGTGAAACATTTATTATGTGCAAGAAGTTACGCTGTTTAAAAAAAAAAGGCTGACTCAGATATGGCTCCTGCCTGCAAAGAGATAACAACAGGCACATTAAAAGAAGTACACAATCCAAGAGAGCTAAATGCCTGAGGAAATGTACAGACAGAGTCATTCTGAATTCAGATGAGGGAGAAATTCCTTATGCTGGAATAAGGAAAAGGCAACGAAAGTGTCCAGAGAGGAGGTGGTGTGAAACTGGGTCATGAAAAACAGAAGGAGAAAAGGTATTCATTGGGAAGAAACAGTATGAGAAAGAAGGCAAGAAAATAATGTGTACAGCCACAAAACAATATGAGGTGAACTACACATGAAAGTCCTACCAGACACACAACACAAAACCAAATAAATGCTGCAGGATTTTTGGGATTTCACCAATTTATATTGTCTGATAAAGGGAAATAATAAAAAGATCTTAAAATAAAGTTGATAGTTTTTATCCTAAGAGTCTTAAGAAAATGAATTGAAAAACAAACCCTGATGTGACTACACTTCTCAGATACTTCCGTCTCTCCCAGTCTCAGAGCTTCCTGGAGCTCAGCTTTTGCCTGGACCATGCTTCCTTGGAGTAAATGCAACTCTTCCTTTTTATGCCCTATTTGTTTGTCCAAGTCAGCCAGCTCCTGCTGCTGATTTGTCACCTGGGTTAAAGAAAAGGGAAGAGGACAAAGCTTGAGAAAAGTCACAGGATTCATAGGGTTAAGATGGAAAATACCTAAGTCCAGTTAAAGCTACACAGTAAGGAAGTTGTGGGAAGTCAGGACCTAATACCCTAGTCCTAAGAAGCACAAAGACTAGATTTGAGGTGGAGGCATGAAATAGTCTAATAAAGACACTGAGTTGATATATATAAAGTCTCTTTAATTACAGTAATAATAATAATAATAAGAATTCTTCCTCAAGTTATGATTTCCAAAGTACTTTCTTATCTATATTTATTTTATTAAAGAATAATGTTGATGATACTACATTAGACAGGGATTTCTTTTTATTTATTCATTTTTGTAAATATTAAGATTATTTAAACATTAAAGGTAATATTCATTTGTAGAAGTGAGGAAATTATATAAGCAAAATGAAGAAAATATTAATAATCATCCTCTGTCTGAGATTAGCACTTTGATAGAGACTATAAAAACAAACACTATGTTCACAAACACATTTAACATAAACTACCTGACAGAGTACCCTAGGTTCTGAGACTCACTTCTTTTACTCAAATTTTATAAAATTGGGTTTTACATTTGAGTTGGACTCCATACACTTGATATGTATGACTTAAATTATTCTAAATATTTCAGCTTATCTACAAATATGCTTCTACATACAAATATGATTCTATAATCACAAAACAAATGTAGGTTTCAGGAACAGCATAAACTGCTTTTCTTAAGTGTCTCTGCCATACCTGGGTCCTTAGCTTTTCCAGCTCTGATCGTTTGACCTGAAGGAGGGTTTCAGATTCTTCAAGGACTTGCAGGTGGTGGTCCTCATTACGTTCTGCAGTCTCGATGTCTTTTTGCAATTTCTGAAGCCTGTAAAACACCAGTAGTACTAAGACTAGGTTCCACGAGCTGTCTTCTAGGACAAAACCCTTGAAGACCAACTACAGAAGCCTTACTTACTCTTCTGTCAGCTTTTCCTTCTTCTTGTTTAAACACTGGAAATCTGAATCTTTTGCTGCTACAACTTCATTTATTTCTTTCAAGATTTCTTCTTGCTCAATTTTGTGCTTCTCCAAATCCTTTGCATCAGCCTGAAGCAATCTAAAATACAACACTTTATTGCTCCCAAGACCCCAGACTTAATATTATTATTATGTGCTCTTGAGTCACAGCTCATAGTGACTCTATGTACAACAGCCTTAAACCCTGCTCTATCCCCCGCCAATCTTATTGTCTCTGACACGCCCATTACCACAGTGACTGAATCAATCCATCTCATTGAGGGTCTTCCTCTCCTGTGCTGTCCCTCTACCCTCCCAAGCATTGTATTATCTATCATAAATCAGTTAACATCTTAGAATCAAATTTTTCATTCGGCTCACCACTTAACTCAATGGTTAAGGGACTTCACCTACCTTAGCTGCTGATCAGCTTTGACAAGGTTAATGGCAGTTTCCTGAGCTCTCCTTTCTAACTCTTCGGCATCTGACTCAGTTTGCAACAAATTTCTCTTGACATCACTGAACTTCTCCATAGCATTTTTTGTCTAAAAAAAAACCCATTAAAAAGCAATTCAGTGAAAATATTCATTCTCAGCTACTAGCAACGGAAACTCTGGAATATTTTTTTGGAAAAAAAGCAACACAGAAGTAAAACTGGCCATTAACTTCATCTCTCTAATCTTTAGAAAGAATTTTTTTTTAAATTTAGGTTTATTTTTCATTTCAATGAACATCTACAGAGATTTTGGAATTCCATTCATTCATTGTTGCACCCTTCTCCCCGCACAAACCCTT